AATTGTTGATAAATTTCCATTATAATAAATTATATCCACATTCTATCACCATCATATTCTATCATCAGTATATCCCATTGATTATTACCATGATATTGCCATTATATTCCCTATGTTTGTTTGTTTGTTTCGCCGCTTCTTTTGGCGAAAAAACATGAAAAAACACCATTTTTTAGCGCCAGGCCTCACAGCTACATCCAGGAGGGGAAAGCTGGGCCATGGACACATTTCAGTAATGTTGATAGGGAATATAATATATATATATATATGGCTGTGTCTTTTTTTCAGGTGTGCAGATTTTAGTAAGGGTGGGAAGTTCGAGTTCTGCGAACCATACCCACGAATCATACCCCGAACCATACCCCGAATCATACCTGCGAATCATACCCCAAAAATTCACGATTATGAATGTTTCTTTTGGGATCGATTGGGATTGCATGGCCTCACTAGTTTTAATGGACGTGACATGCCAATTGACAAGTGTTGGCCAGATCCGATGATCCCTGGCTGCCTTCACATACCTTCACGACATGAGTGGTGAGGCTGGCTGGCTGGCTAGGTGGCTGGCTGCGTGGCTGGCTAGGCTAGGTGGCTATGGCAATTGCTGCTGCTGGTTGGGTGGCTGGCTATAGGGCTGGCTAGTTGCGGCTGGCTGGCTGCGTGGCTGGCTGCTTGCTGTGTTGTCTGCTATTAAGTAGCAATTGTGGTAGGTTGACGGTGGGAAAAAGAGACTCAAGCAACAAAGCTTCCTGAATTCCAAAAAAACATGGGTTCCCGAACCATACCCCGAATCATACCCGAATCATACCCGAATCATACCTCAAACTTCCCAATTCTGAACCTTGGTACATTTGCAAGATCAGAACTTGTGTTTTGTGAGCATAAATCTTTTTCTTTGCAACCATTCGCCACGGGCTACACTACGTCTCCTGCTGCTTCTGAGAAAAATCCGGGAACGGCACCCTGCAGTGGCATCCTGCGATGGCACCAACATGCCAACTCCAAAGCGCACACACCACTTTGACTGCAGCACCTTGAAGCAGCACCCTGCAGCAGCACCACCAGCCAGCTCCAGAGCGGACACGCCCCTCTAACAGCTGCACCCTGCAGCATTGAGACCCATATACTCCATGCAGGATATAGATAGCATTAATTAGCAACATTCTGATGTTTTTGGGATTTTGGGACTAAGTATAAGTACATAAAGGGCCGCGAACCATACCCCCGAACCATACCCCGAACCATACCCCGAATCATACCCACGAATCATACCCCCTAGTCAAACTTCCCGGGCCGCACTCCTCATTTTGAGACATACCCATATATATATATGATATATATATATATATATGATATATATATATATGATATATATGATATCATATTATATTATATTATATATATGATATATATTATATATATTATATATTATATTAGATTTAAATAGGTGTTTAGAGGCTTATGACATGATGTTTTTGGATATACTGTATGGGAATGATAGGGTTATGATATGTTTGTTTGGGACGGCAGTGATTTATATTACAAGGTTATTACTACATTATTTTCTGGATTATGCACATGTTTATTGTATTAATTTAGTGTGTTTAAAGAACTATAAAGTTGCACACAGATTTACAGGGTTAGTGATCATGGGTATTTATAGTGTGTTTTTTGGTGTTTCAGGATCATATAACTCTATATTGATCTATACGTTTTTTGTTCTTGATTCTAGGGCTTTAAACCCATACGTAGAGAGATAGTTATATACTTACATGTTTTCTTAAGGGGTTTCCTGGGTCGGGATTTGGTGAATTTAGCGGTGAGTTCATGGTGATCCGTGATGGGATTTAGAGACCTCACTGCGACCGAATCATCGCAAAATGGCCTGAAATTTCAGGTTAGTGAATTATTATTATTATTATTTACCCAGATATGTATCTGTTGGATGCCCGTGTTCAAAAAAATCCTAGACACTCCATTCACCCAACAAATTAGTATGTTTGTCATTTTTTTGTGGGCACTTTGAGTGTCTTGGTATATATTATATTTACCTGGCAATGAGTGTTTCTTGAAATAGAAGAACATCATTTGTTGTTTGGCCAGGGTTGATTGCCAGAAAGTATTCAAACATGGCCTTGAATTAGAGTTGGGAGGATTTAAGACAACGTGCGTTCGCCAAATAGCCATAGCATGCCTTGCCAAAAGATGGGAGTAGTTTGGGTGTATAGTGTATGGTGCACATGTCCCGGATTGTAACGGGAATGTTGCTTCATGGGAGGGCTGATTTCCTATTACACTCAGTAGCCCAGTTGCGGGACAACTGACCGAAACCTTGGTCCATTGTTGAGATGTTGCTCCAGTTGGCATCTTTCATTGACAGTCCAACGCCTGGTGGCTAAATTCCATTGGTTGATTGCTTGAAATACTCATTTGTGCTTATATAATTGAAATAACACATATACAACACGTTATAACACCCTTTGTTCGTGCAATCCAGACTGGTGTTTCAATTGCTGTTTGCAACTCACACCGTTGTTGGTTGAAAGCCAATTGTTTGGTGGTGGAACCCTGATCCTTGCTTGCAAAATCGAAGTTTTAGGTCAATAGGCGGCCAAAACCAAACAGATCCAAACATGTTATACTTTTAGCGGTGGCTGCCAATGTGGCTGCAGGAATAAATAGCCCAAGTCAAACTTCCATTTGCGATGTGTTGTGGTCTCATTTTGCTTAAATCTCCATGTTAGTTATATATACCACCATGACGTCCACATAAAATCCCCTGTACCCCTCCAAATCCCAAAAAAATGCACATCATAAATCCCTATAGTTCCCATTCATTCATTCCCATTAAATCCCAGTATATAAATCATTATTCAATCCCCTGAAACCCTTGAAATCAAAAAAGAAGACCAGTAAATCATTATTCAATCCTTGAAATCCAAGACCCAAAGACCCATTCAGTCCCAAGAAAATCTCATGAATCCCCTTAATTCCTATTAAATCTCATGTTTTCCCGATGCATTTCAGGAGATGTCCAGCTGGGTCCATTTCTCGGTTGCCTCGCAGGCCCACCTCACAGGTTGCCAGGGCCTTGCAAAGCACGCTGCAACGGCTCAGAAGGAGGCTCAACGGCCTTAGGGGGGTGCAGGCCAGGGTGAAAAAATGTGACGGATTTGAAGCTCCAGAAGTTGGGGATATAATTCCTATACAACTAGGATGATGATGGTCATGGTGATGATGATGATGATGATGATGATGATGTAATCACTTGTAACTGGTGCAGCCCCAAGTACCTTCTGGATTCTTCTGGTATTCAAGATAGCTATATTTAATTATATATAGCTATCGGATATCGCCGTTTGTAATCATTGAACAAAATGGACATTTTTCCAAGGCGACATGAAAGTACCACAGGGCATCTCACGTGGAGGTTAAGGACATTCACAGGGGAAGCGAATTGGATGGGTAGTGTCGTAATGCTAACCTACGGTTTAGGGTTTTACAGAACGCCACCTTTACTAATAGGAGTGGTACAATTTCAGTACTTTAGCACGATTTGGTGGTAATCCTCCCAATGAATAGTCAGAGTTTGTGCATCCAGGGTTGACATTGCGGAACATGAGGATAAGTTAAGCATTCTGAATTACGACATGTGGGGATGGAACACGGAGAAAGTTCATTTGATCTACAGTATCTACAGTAACTTTGGTGTACGGTAACCAACCACCAATATTGGACGGTAAGAACCCAAAACAATTCCTAGAACCCCTGCTGGGATGTATTGGACCTCTGGTTGGTGGCCCCCTGTGGTACCTGGGGCTCCGACATGAACAGATTGAAGACATGTTACCAGAGTTTATAGAAATAGGGGGGCTAGTTGATATATTCTAGGGGAACGGATCACATCTCCTGATTCCAAGAACTATCAGAAAATCTTATTCTTGAGAACTTGAATCATCTTATTCTTGAGAACTGGATCATAGAGATATAGTATAGTGTCCCCCAAATAGATCGAAAAGTACTGACTGGAAAAAACAAGTACTGATGGCCTCTATTCTTTCATGGAATTTCAGGTTATTGTTTTGGTAGTCAAGGCAACAAAACAAAAAAAAACATATTGATGAGTTTCCCAGCTAGAAACCTTCATTTAGTTCGCAGATTTCCATAGATTTCCCTAGCCATGTTGGATTGCTGAAGGGCGTAGTATTTTTCATTTCGCTTCCTATGAAAACTTCACCAGGTGGCGGAGAGCTGGAAGAAGGAGTGCAGAGACGCTCTGGGGGATGTTGCGCCTCGGAAAGTGGAGACTGACCTGAGAGGTTGATGGCTGGTTTCCCCCCCAAAATCCTCCCAATGCACGGGGAATACCATGGGAATAACCATCTAAAATGGAGATTCAAGGTGCTTTAATCGTCCAAACTGGGGCTTATATATTTGACCAGCCGAAATAGGGATTTGACATAATTTAATCATTCAAAGTCCGGAGTTCTCCAGTGAATGATAGACTATAGGATGCTATAGGCTTGTCCAACATATGTCCAAATATGGGGAGTACCTCACGTTGTCGCAATTGTGATAAAGGACATGATGATAAACCATCAAACTTTTGGGGCATCCTGTTTTCAGACCGACCCAAGTAAACACGGTCCTGGACGGTCCTGGTTGAGGGGGGTTTCATTTAAGTCTGCTCCCACCCGTTCCCAATATAATACAAACACCCCCTTTCAACAGCAGGCAAATAGCCTTCAGCCAAGGCCAAGTTTATCTACAACTTGATATTTTGGGACCTCTACCTTTTCGAGTGGCTCAAGAACCGAAAGGTGCAGTGGCATTTTTGAGTGGACCTTTTTAGATCTTTTAGGCCTTGATCAAACCAAGGTTTCCTGGCAATGTAGGCTGGCAAGTCAACGTGGATAATTTTCCTGTTGAGCATGGGTAATTTTCAACCATGTTGGGATGTTTGTTTGGCACATTTGGGCCAGGCTCACAGTGGCGAAGTGATGGCTCAGATTGCTTCCCTGCTCATCACGATCATGATGGCGAATGATCAGCAGGTGCCACTGAGGGCGTTAAGGTGAGTTTCCAGGCCTGCTTCTCTGGGTGTGGGGCTTAGGGTGGTTTGTTTCTGCTAACACCTGGATGATTTGTTTCTCTCCTGTGGAAAGTTCATCAATTTCTCCCCCTAGAGTAGACCCTCTCCCGCCTCTCCCACTGGGATATATGTGTCCTACAGGGGGACTGCGGCTATCAAAAGACTTTTCTTCCTCCCTATCATTCGCTTCATCAATGACCCCATGTTGGGTATGTTTGGTGTTTTGGGATGTTTTGGGCAGCAGAAGCCCAATATGCACACGTTTTCGAGGGATTGCTGTAGGTGTCCCGCGACACGAGGTGAGAAGTAAAGTGATCGAGCACTGGAGATACATCAAACCTGTGTCCCGGCGTGACAGGCCTGAGGCTTTGTTTGATAATGAAAAACAACGAACACAAGATAAAACAAACTATAATAATAGTTCCGTGATTAATTCGTGGTGCACTGTTTCAGGGCAGATTTGACTGAATGTGTTTTTTTTTGAGTAATAGTAAGGTTCATTTTATTGGATATCTTTGAGCGAAGGACCATCCCAGATACGAAGAATCGTCGCAGGTGGATTGGGGTAGACGATTTTCATGGTTACCCTCCGCGGGATCATGACGAGCATCATTTTGCAAATGCAAGTCCAGTTCTAGCCCATTCGAACGCCCATTCGAATAGATTGGTCCCTGCAAGTTGGGACGTCAACCTGCATCCTTTGGGTTCGGGCGTTCAAGGAGAAGAAGCTGTGGCTTGGCTGTTGGATGATCCCATGGTCGTCCTTTCCCAATCTTAAGCCCACCTGCAATGAGACCCAATGTAATGCAATCATAAACTGCTAAACATGCTAAGCCACGGATTCGGTGCGGGGGATGTTTAAAGTCTAATAAACGGTGTTGTAGTGGGATAAGTAAGGGAAGAAAGGATAAGTCTTCTTCCGTGACCAGACCTAGTGGATCGAAACATTTTGGGTTCGAACAGCTTTGGTGCTCTTTGAGTTCGCTAATTCTGATTTGCATTAGCGACTGAATTGAAACAACTGTTTGACACCGATATATCCAAATATATCCAAAATTATCCAATCATTCCCAAAGAATAAGGACATAGAAGGAACATATTTTTTGAAACTGTCTGGTGTAAGTATTGGTTGGTGTTCTGTACTGACTATCCCAAGTGACGATTTTTTGCGGCCTGAGGGACATCATGACGACCATCGAAAACAATGAAGGCCGCCAAGCTGGCAAGCTGGAATTTCAGTGCCTATTTCTTGCCCCAGTCTCTATGGTGATCCAGAGATTTCAAGAGTATTCCTGACGTCTTGAGAAGTAGTTCAAGTTTGGCAAATCCTTCCGTAAGCCACTGGTGTTTGGCCAGCCCAGTGTTTCTGAACAGCGGTGCGTTCAGTCATTGCATCCGCCGTCCAAGCACACTTCCTGTTTCAGCAGTTCAACTGGCCCAACTCTCAGGAAATGCACTTCCAGGCTCAGTCCTGCGGCTGCTGATTTGCCTACCAAATGACGAGAAAACTCTGCTGCCCTGTGCCAGTGAGGCTATGCAAAAGCCTTGGCCTTAGACGTTCCCGGTGGATTTTTGATCAAGGGAGACCATGGGCTTTGGGGCACAAAGATGGGACATGCATCCCACTTGAAATATAATTCTCACTCCGTTTCTGAATCTTGGGTTCAAGAGCGACCCTGTGACTTCCCCATGGCGCGTGTTTTTTTTCTCCTTCTCGTACCACCCTCTGCAAAGCTCCCAGAAGCCTAAAACGTTGTCCAGTCATGCCCAGTCGCATTTTCATGAACCAGATCCCACATGTGTTTACTATTTTTGGAAATATATATGTATACATACACACACGCACATATACAATATAATAATTAAAATAATAATGATAATGATATGATAATATACATTTTTTGTCAACCCGGCAACCGGCAACCGGCGCTGACAACCGGCAACCGCCATCGGCAACCGGTTGTCCAAAATTTTTGTACGTGGATTTTTTTCCGGGACACCCAATATGTTGGAACCCCTATTCCCATAAGAAACCCCTATAGCATAGGAAGCTCATGGGAATGGGAGTCCCATCATTGGGAGCCCCTTTAAAGTCCATGGACCAACGGCTGCCCAATTTGCTTAGGTTACGGAATCCTGTGGTCTGCTTGTGGCGGCAGGGTTGGTCACGCGAAGATCGGCGCCTGCTACGTAAAGGACGGTTGTGGCTCAAGAGGCTTCCAAGAGGGCTTGAGGAGGCACGTCGTGAATGTCCAGATGGTACTGGCTGGAGATGACGTGCATGTAGAATCATACGCATACGGTTTTTACTGCATACCTTTGAATAAATACACATGTATGTGCGCAATGTTCTTCTGTGTGATGCCTACTCCATATGTGCTTTGACGTAGTGGATGCCTGTCCGGAGGTGATCAAAAGGAAAGTGAAGCGTGAAGATGTCACCGAACTGCACAACAAGTTCGGCGGGTTCTTGTGCCCCATGAATCGTTGGTCATCTCAAGTATTATATTATATATATATATAAAGGCATGTGTGTACACACACAAAATATATCTATTGTATATGACATGTGCGTGTTCTCATACGTTCTTAGATCTATGTTTACAGGTTATACTGATATACATGTGTTTGTTGTCTAGGTATACATATGGACGTTTTCTTAATACTTCAACTACAATATATGGACTTCAGATATGGTATTTACTCTCAACCACGGAAAATTGGATCAATGGGTCTCTCTCTCTCTATATATATATATATACATGTATATAATATACATATAATGTACATAATATGAGGGGCCATGTCTTGAAACTTCTTGATTTCTGGCATTTTGTCCTGGACAGTTTTACCTTGAAGGACAAGACCCCATAAACCACGGTAAATACTTGCGGGTTACAGCGAAGTATCAGTGAATCGATTGTCAACCTTGATTTGATGTGCAGTTGTTTGTTGGCTAACTGGTCCACCCACCATTTTTTGTGCGCATCCGGTTCGCCTTGTAAGGTGAAAAACGCCTTAGTCAAGCCCGACGTTGTGGCATGGCCCAAGATGAGACACTTGGCATGGAGGTCCCCATGCCATGGGCCGATATTGCGATTTATGTTGATCTGGTTTTGGGACCCCTGGAAAGTACCCTCTGGTAAAGTAACGTAGCTATTGAACATTACCATTTATAGTGGATTTACCCATTTAAAATAGTGATTTTCCATAGCTATGTTAGTTTACCAGGGGGTAATTGTTAGTTGATGTTAGTTGTTTTTTCATGAGTTTGAGTGGATCTGAGATGAAACAAAGGCATAATTTTGCCATATCCAAGAGAAAATTCTTGCAAGCCCAGGTTGTTCCATCTGAGATTGCAAGACTTGCGCCATGCAACACTTGCCAGGTCCTGTTGAGTGCAGCGATGTGGTTCCATCATGACAATGGACACGGGCTGGTTAGAAACTGATACAAAACCTATGACTTGAGGATGGTGCAGCTTACAAGACTTGTGCACCAAGTGTTGAGTTGTTTTCGGATATTGAAGTTAAAGATTGTTAGGAAATAAATAAATAAATATATATATATATATTGCCCGGCAAAAGTGTCAAATTGCTGATTTGCTGCAAATCTATACCCAGACTTCATACGATCGCATTTTCCAGAAGCCACAACATCCCCTCACTGCAAACAGTATGATAATTGACACGTATTGACACTCCTGAAACTCCTGAGACTCTGAACTTTAAAGCAGTGAATGCCAGACATTTCCCGAAGAAGCGAAGCTGTGGCTCAACCAGGTCTTTGGACCACCTTACTGCCATGAATTCACTAGTATTTGTCTCTTACTATCATTAGTTGTGATTCTGTTTTACTATCATTAGTTCCCTAAGGCTCCAACGTGCACAAATACGGTCAACATTCGACAATGTAAGCTTACACGCCTACATGGCTTCCGATTTTGCCAACGTAGCCTCTCAGAGCAACATTCGAAATCCGATTTTCGAATCCGATTTTCTATGTTGGCCATGGGGAAAATATTTACCTACTTTTGGGTGATATTGTTAATAAATGAAGGCAAGTAGTTTATAGATGGATCATATCAGTGAATTTTCTTGCCCTTGCTTGTCCACAAACCATCCAGCAACTCCCCAGGGCGACACTAGTGCTGCATTTTTTGTCCTAGAGCACACCAACATAGCTGCCAGAGACTTTGAGGCCCAACAAAATTCGGCCCATCACACGGACCTCCATGAGTGCCCGGCGTGTTCTTTTACAAATTGCCTTGACGGCTCCCATGGCATCTTCATCTAAATATGCATGGTAGGTTCGTGCGTTGACTTGCGTTGTCCACATTTCGAAGCAAATTTCCTGGTATGCCTTAGCTGGAAAAGTAGGGTGTTTAAAGAAAGGGAAAAATCAAAAGTCATAACCAAACACATGACAACGGACAAAGTTCTCAGCAAAAAAAAGTTTCGTGGGTCTTTGGACGAAGGGGGAGGTAAAGTATCGTTTGTTGTCGTCCAAGAAAAGCTTGCGCGGCAGATTTGTAGAGCTCCAAAAACCTCACATCATCCATCCATGCTTGAAATTGGTGAAAGTATAACATCTACGAACCGCGCATTAAAACAAACATGTGTCAACCAAGAAACCGGTTCCCCTCTTCCCAAAACCAATTTGCATCCGCTTCTGAAAGGTATCTGCCAGCACCCTCTAGCCGCAGCATCCACAGGGAAATTGAGTTCATGGTTCCAATTGTCAGGACAAGCTCAGGTGATCTGTTTTCAGGTGGCATCGAAGCAGCCAACGAATTCAGACACGTTGTCAAAAATGCAGTCATAATTCTGCTGTTCCAAGCTTTTAAACGCAGTTCGCAAAATTCCCCAGGTTTCTGATGAAACAGGCCTGTGGTGATGAAGGCCTGCGAATGCCTTTCAGGGTTGTTTGTGTGGTAAATGTTTTCAAAGCACATTTTTTTCTTGAAAACATCGATGGAAAAGCACAAGGCCTGATGCCCTGCACAGAGCACCACTTCCGAAACCGTACAGTGAGTATCTCAAGCAACAGCTTGGTGTCCAGCTCCCGCCCAAACCACCCATGTTCAGAAAGCAATGTCAAACTCGCTCCGTTCAAGAAATGGAGCAGGCCAAGGTGAAGAGTGTGCATTAAGCAGTATTTTAGCATATGGGGTGCGAACCCATATGCAAACGCAATAGGGTTCACATAGCGTTTCCTTACTGATCTTACTGAAAAGACTCGCAACTTCAACAAAAACATAATATTGTCCCTGGTTTCGGGTTTGTTCCCCACCAAACTCAC